AAATTGTAGACATTGTTAAAGCTCCAGATAATAATGAAAACATTTTCCCCTGTTAAAAAAACAGTTTATAGCAGTTGCTATGTTTTTCACACCCACATACACTCCAAGTCATTTTATTTGCCTGCGATTGGCTAATAAATTACTACTACCTTTGTATAGGACAATTTAGCCATCGCAGTCGTTTCGTTGAATATTTTGGTTCTGAGCATATTTACCTATTCTGTTTAGTACGTGTGTAGTGATTGGTTAATTTTTAACCAATCACATATTTTTAATGTAAGATCAAGTTTTCCCGCAGTTCTGTGGGAGCCTACCTCTTTTCCTTAAATAGGGCAACTTTTCACAAGTTGTCAGTAAGATCCAAGCCGTCAACACAAATCTACGATCTTGCTCATCACACTCTAACGCACACACAAACACAGAATTTCGTAACTACAAACTTACATTTTCTCTCTGTAACTTTCGCCAAGCACAATCAACCAGAACTTTGTTGATTCAAACCAGTTTATTCACAACACATTTCAAGCAATTGTATTCTTGGTGTTATTCATTCTTCACATGCAAACTTTGCTCTAACGATTATTTCGGAACATTTATCTCACAAGAGAACTTTCTTCAAACAGTTGATTACAATCAATCTACAGTCAAAGGGAAAGAACTGCCTTCTCTTTAATCTACATTGTGAATACGATTTTATTTCATGCTTGTTGTTGTATTTTATTCAATACAGTGTAACCCGGATATAAGAGACCCGGATATAAGAGAAACCCGGATATAAGAGAGATTTTCTCTGGTCCCAATTTAGAGCCTGTGTTAATGTATATAAAATAGACCAAACCCGGATATAAGAGAAACCCGGATATAAGAGACTTCTTCTCCGGTTCCGACAACTCTCTTACACTGTATATATTTGTTGGTTAACAAATTGGAGTTGTTGTTATTGTTTCTTGAATCCTGTACGTGAAAGAATCATTAATATAAATAGTAGTAGTACCTATATATTTGGTGTTGCTGCTACATTTAGTGAATCAACCCAACGCTATATTTGGTACTTACGCTACAAGTTCAAAATGCATCATTAGAAGTTGAAACAGGAACACTAATAATTTGCTTTATTTGCAGCTTGTTTGTTTAATGACATATCAACTTATTTAATGCCAAAATTTAATTTTCTCAGAAGATTTGAAGTAATAGAAACATGATATGTTATTCTGCTTTCACAATTGAATACATGGTAGATGATACTCAGCTTTTGTGCATATACATGTTTGTGTGGACATGACTATTAGACATGGTAATATATGTGCACTTTATGTTGTACTTTTGTTGAAGTTATATTTTGGAATACTGTCTGATTTAAGAAATTGGAGGATATTATATGGCCTAATGCTATGAAAGAGTTCTTTCATGTTCATTGTTTGGTTGGTTGATTTTGTTTAAATGCCAAAATCTAAATATTTTGTATGTGATTTTATGGCTTCAACTACTGATATTTTGTACATAATTTTATACTTTCAGAGCAAAGGTATGTTTTTTAGATAAATATTTTGTAAATAAGTTGTATCGGTAATTTTATGTATTTTTATATTTTTTTCTGCCCATAGCTTTCGTAGCACATTTACTACAATTAAATACGACACCTAAGGTATAATTTCCAATTTCATTTTTGAAAGTGAAAAAACAATATAACCAATAAACTCCTGACACTGGCACAAAATAAATAACTAGGAGTAACTGTTTCAAAGGAAACGATGCAATAAAAAAGCAGAAGTTCACTGTACCAATTAAATTCACATCAGAAAACATTTGATTAAGTAAGAAATATTACTGCATGAATGAAATTAATTGCAAAACAAATCTTTCTCCCTGACAAAAATAATATTTCTCTGATTTAAGAATAAAATAAAAAAACAAACACTAAACAACGACTTGATACAGTACTTGAGTTTGAAACAGGCCGTAAGTTGAAATAAAAGGGGTGTCTGGAATTACTGTCTTTACAATATTTTATAATTTTCCAGTAATGAAAGGCTAAATTAAGCGGTAAGAAGAAATTTCCTGAATATTTACTAAAAGGGGAGGGGTGGAATTAGGAATGTTCTAGGTAGATTTTTCTCCAAAATGAATAATCGTCCGTGCCCGTCTATTTGAAACTCAAAGGTAACCTAGAGAGTAATTGTGTGGTCCAGTTAAAGAAATATTGGTAAATTATTAATTGAAGTTAATTGATATGAGTAATTGAACTTATTTTTTATTTTGTTCAAATTTAGCATTTCAAACAAAACGCAAGTTTACCCTCTTTAAATTTTTTAACTAGCCTCATAATCTGAGTTAGGTGGCGGTAATTCCGTGTTTGTCACAAATCGTTTAAAGCAGTAACACAAAAAATAAATAGCGAAAAATAGGGTGAAATTACGAAACACTCAAAATTGGTACAAACCAAGAATTATTCCTATCTTATGCTCCCAAAAGACAAAAAAAACAAGGACATTTTTTCTGCGAACTTGCTAGCGGAAAAGATCTTCCTATGTTGAAAAATGAAATATATTCATGAATTAAAAATTAAACTCCGTTTTTTATCTACAGAAAAAAAACGATTGAAAATTGAAATATGTAATTAATAAATAAATTTATTTTAAATTATAATTTTTCTATTGTTTTCGTTTTATTTCTGATTTTCAAATTAAAAGTTGAGCTCTCAGAAAATGAGATTTTTTAGTTAGTAGTTTTAAAGGGGAATCTAAATAATTAGTATTTGATTTGGTATGCTGGAATAATTTGAAGTGCTAAACCGAAACTTAACAAACACATTTTTTATCGTAATAAAAATACTAGCAGATAAAATATGAAACAAAAACAAAATCAGGAAAAAGAAAATAATAAAAAAAAAAAAATGTCACGGCAGACACACAAGAAATTTTTATTTAAATTTAATTTCATTTTCGGAATTCTCGTTGAAAAAATATCAAATTATCAAATAAATTCAAAATAATAGCAATCATATTATTTTACTGAAAAAAAAAAAAAAATGATGTAAAAAAAAAGTAATCAAAGACGTCAAAATTTGCTCTGTTAAACTTTCCAAAAACACATCCGCTGATGAAAAAAAAAAACAAGTTTTTTAATCAAAATTTCGAATGTTAAAGGAGAAAAAAATTTAATTAAATATTCGAAAATACTTTGATCTTTCCTAAAAATTTTGATAATAAAACTGTTTTCATTGTGTTTTGGTCGTTTGGAGCAAGTTTTCAATTTTCATCATGGTATGCTGATTTGTTGATTTCGTGGAGGTACCTAAATTTAATTTAAGAATATGAATTAAAAAATAATTATAATTTAAAATTATTTAAGTTGCATTTTTTAAACATCAAACGAAATTTTCTTTGATTCTGCTAGATTCAAAAATATTTATAATTTGAAATTAACAAAAGATTCCATAAAAAAAAAGCAATATTGTGCATAACTTTTAAGTTTAGTAAATAAATAAAAAAAATTCTGTCAGATGATTATGCAACTACAAAAAAAAACTTATTTTGACAGGTACATGATAAAAAATTAAAAAAATAATTAAAAAAAAATTTTTTAAAAGTTCGATTTTAATTTTTACGCCATTCTCAGAATACAAACAGAAATTTATACAATAAATTTATACTGCGAAATTTGAAAATTTTTCGCTAATGTAACAAAAAAATAAGGCGTGAAAAATGTGTTAATAAAAACAAAATAACTTCAATAACCTAAACAGAACTCTAATTGAAGTATAATGCGCTCAGCCCCAGGAGATCATCTTCACCAAACAATACCTCCCGCAAGAGAAAGGATTAGCGTTGTTGTAATTACTAAGTTTGTAGCTTAGTTTGGCACAAGGCTACAAGTGGTGCCCAGTTAGGATCGAACACACTAACACTGGTCAACCTGACTAACTCAATAAGCATACTTCCACCTCGTATGAGGGGGGAAGTGCCAAAGGAGCTTCTTCTTTAATCAATTTTTGTCCCTAGTCCCATATACGCGTGGGACTCCTATTTTAAACTCGACCCTGTGTCATATTCCGTTCGTCCGGATGAAGATGGCAGACTCCATTGAAAGCAACATTTCATAATAAATAAATAATCTTCTTAATGAAGTCACGAGTGAGTATATTTTTCGCAAAGCAATAATAACGGGTATTTAAAATCGTTAAAATGAAGTTTAGATCATTTTCGACTGTTGATTAGAGTTGCAAAAACTTTTTAAAAATTGGTAGTAGTACTCAAGTTTTGTGTGTCACTCTCCACAAACCAGAAAAACAAACGTTCTTCATTTTTTTTGCGTAACCATATTAAAAAACGCTAATTTCCAAGATTTCTGTACATGTTTTTTGTACACAATTCGTAGCTTTTTTTTTCTGTCTTTAGACAATAATTTCCATTTTTTCACTCAATAAAAATATTTTTAAAAATTAAAAAATAGCGTGGCCTTTTTTTAGTTTCGACAATTAAAAAGAAGGTAAAAGGCTAAGCAAAACACTTCTTAAATAGTCAGCACAAAAATGTTTTAAAAAGTAAGACGATATACGATGCACTAATTCGGAGTGTAATTTTATTTTACCACTCAGTTAATTTTCTTGAACTCTGAAAAATAAAGACTATTTTTGTAAGACTTAAACTAAACAGAAACTGTAAACAGTAAACAAAACTAAAAACTAAAGTACCAATACACAGATGTAGAATCACAATATAGATCTACGTGGGCAATTGTTTTTTAGTGTAATAAATTTAATTTCATAGCAATAATCAAAGAATTCTTTAGTTACATAATCAATCTTTATTGTTTGCCTGGGAATTTTTTTAAACATTTGATTTTTGACAAAATATCTTGTTGTAGAAACTCTCTCTCTAGACTAAAAAGAGCAAGCAAGGAAAGTTCTAAGAAAAGGATAAAAAAAAAAATTAAAAACAAAAAAAAGAAGAAAAACAGGAATTCACATCAGCAGAAATTTTTGTCAAAAGAAAACTTACCAAACATTCTTAGATGCATGTTTGTTACAGGGTTGAAAGAGCCACACGCGATTAGAACCACTCTAGCCGGTGGCTGAGAGGGTGAAATAGCCATGTTTATTTTTTATTTTAAAATTCTATCACAAGGATTCTTTCCTTTCTCCAAGTAATTTTTTCTTTCTTCCTACGTCTTACTGTTTTCTCTTTACACGAAGTTTTACTTTTACTCTTCTTGTAATGTCTACGATCGCAGTCATTGGCAGCTTTTTACAGGCTTGGCTCGTAGACTGCTGCCTTACTGAAGCTTTGGTTTATGCGTTTTCCTTTTTATTTAGATGATAACGGTGATGATGATTTATTGGACAACACTCAACTGTACGAGTGGGTGATGATGATCTTTACTTCGGCTGCTGCTTTACCTTAATTATCCAGTTAAAGCATTTCGCATTGTTGCATGTTTTTCCTTCCTGTTCACACTCTCGTTTATTTAATACTTGCTTCGTAAATTATTAATGTCAATCTGATAAACCAGTTTTTTAGCTAATCTCCCCAAAAAAGTGTAAAAAGAATTTACTGTTTTAGTATTTATTTACTTATTTCTTAGTGTAAAATCCTGGTAAATTTGTTGAATCTTTCCTTTTCGAGAAAAACAAAGTACATTTACACAGGAATTGTTGTGGAAAAGTGAAAGTGAAATTAGATCCAACGAAAAATGAACAGCAAATTCGTGGCCGTGAATTTCCTCACTAACGCCCTCTGTTGGATGTGACCAGCACATGATTAACCTCGGAAAATATTACACTGCTGCGGACGATTTGTTTAATTCAAAACACTCAATATGTCTTTTAAAACTTTAAAATAAACGAATTAATTTTTATCAGCATTTAGTTACACAAGCACAAAAAAGATTCATTAAAATGGCAGAAAAGAAAACAGATTCATAAATACATGTAAAAAATAAACATGTGTACAAACTGCATATCGTTTTAAAATTCACAGCAATTTTTTAATAAATAAAAATTAATTCTTTCTGTATGAACCGAAAGAGCAGCTTTCCTGTCTAATTTCCATTGCCAACGCTTATTTAAAAAAAAATAATTAAAACAGTTGAATAATATAATCTAATTTTAAAAAATCTAGTGGAAATCAAGAAAATTTACGAATAAAATATTTATAAAATTTCGTTAAGTTTTTGGTAAATAATTTAAAGTTAAAATCAAACTTCTTTTCTTTTTCAGAATATAACAATAATTGCCAACTTGAAGAATTATCTTTATGCAATAATATCAGTAATTATATATTATCAACAGAAATCAATCACAGATATTTGGAAAAAAAACTATTTGATAAGCTAAGCTAAGAATAAGACACTTTCACTTTCACAGAAAACATTATCTTAACAATATATTTATGGATATTCATTAGTAAAATTATTTTGTATCAGAGAAATATTGATACTTCAAGAATTACAAATTTTGAAACTTTGGTGCTAAAAAATAAAAAAATAATAATGTATTTATTTAGCAACTAAAGTGAAAAATATCCCGCCTCCCAAAGATATTGGAAAATCACGTATAAAATTAAATCATGCAATTTATGCAAATATGGAATAAGTTAATAATGGAATAAGTTTTTAAAAAATAATCTAGCTTCTTATTTTTTTAAAAATTACCTAATAAATTAAGAAGATTGTGTTGTGCTTGTGCACCATCCAAATAGGCTTCGACCTTTTTAGTGACCACCACTTATTTTAAGGGTAAAATTTCCGTATCACCCACTAAGTTGGGAAATAAAATAAAAAATGTAAAAACTAACTGAAATTACGTACGAACAAACAAAAGCGTTTTTATTTTTTTTAAAATGGAGATAACTTTTTTAACGTCTGAATTCTAGTTAGACACTTAATTGGCTTTGAGATCATTTTGGCTTTGACTTGAGGCACAAAATTAAGTCTGGTTCCAGAGGTCCTGTCTCTTCATGTGATACCGGAAGGGGGTTAGGATTTAAACCCAGACTCCTGAAGTGTCTTCCAATAAGGATGTGCCGAGAGAACTAAACGGTTTGGGGCCTTGGTCCCATATAAACGCGAAACCTCCACTTTAAACTCGACCTTATGCCACTTTCCGTTCGAGACCTTTTCAGGTACCTCCACATTTTCGCTGAAAAAACAGCATAGTACGATGACAAAATGCCCCAACTTAATAAAAACAAAGTTTTATCGTCCAATTTTTTTTTATGTTATTATTCAGAGGAAAGACCAAAAAAGTATATTTTTTTATTAAATTTTCAATCCTTTCTCGTTCGAAATTTTGGTTATTTTTTTTATTTTTTGCGACAGCGGTCGACGTAATATGTATGATTAGTGTTTTTGCGCTTTTTTCTGTTGAAAAACACATTGATTTGGAAATTCTTGCAAAAATCAAATAATTATCGGATTTTAATGAAACTTTCAGGACTTATTCACAAATGAATTGATTTTTTTACATATATTGCCCCACACTTACTTAATTTCATGAAATTTCGAGAAATTAAATTTTCATCATAAATTTATTTAAAAAACAAAATTCCTTGGAGAATGTAAATCAACTTTTTTTCAAACTACTGCCCATTTCCGGAAGATCTGCTTCGAATCGTAAAATAAAAATTCAATTAAACTATGACAAAGCTTTTAATTGCTTTTAGAAATAAGATTTACTAAGGACACTATTGTCTTAAGAGATTTTTTTTCATTTTTTTAAATTTTAATTATAATAATTTATAAAGTTTTTTTTAACTCTTTTAAAATTCGGTATTAATTTTCGCCTTTCTTGATGATATTGTTAGTAAGTGAAAACTATTTACTAATCAAAAATTGAAAAGTTTAATACAAATCATTTTGCACCAAGATTTTTAAAATAATTTTTCATTTTTGTTATGTATATAAAATATTACGTAACGTGCCCATTTTTGAATGTATGTTCGACCATACACAACATTAGCAGAAAATAAGAGCGATGAATATAGTAAATTTAAAGTCAGCATTCCTAAAATTAGATTACGAAGAATATTTTTCAACATTTTTAAGATCACTGAGTACTTAAAAATGATATAAAAAAAAGGTTAGTGACTTAAAGTAATTAGACTTTTTTTTCGCAATGGCTAAAAAATTGCGTAATTTAATTTCTGATCAACCAGACAGTTGTATACATATACGTTGTATAATTACACTTGTGGGGTTACCCTTACTTTCCTAAAAAAAAAAAAAAAACTTCGCTAGGGGATGCTCCCTAAGCTGATAAATAGGCTTTGACATTCTCTGTCATCCTCTCTTTTCTATTTCTCTTAGACGATAAGACGTAGGTCGAACGCTTTCCCCACTGGGGCACGCACACACGCGCACGCACAAGCAGCTTTTTCTTCACTTTCCATTACTTTTCTCTAGGATTTCTACATTAACACCTTCACTAGTTTGAATGTTTTCGGCTTTCATATTTATTGTTTTCTGACACGCAACAATCTTCTATTGTCTATGTATACCTTTGTTTTCTTAATACATACTTAGCGTTTGTATATATATATATATATATATATATATATATATATATGTGTGTGTGTGTGTGTGTGTGTGTGTGTGTGTGTGTGTGTGTGTGTGTGTTCTTACTTTTGTTCATTTATTACACAGGCTAGCATTCGAGTCTGCCATTTTTGTTGTGGGATAAATATACCAGGAGGCACGTGTTTTCCAACCTAAAGCACGATCAGCATACGCCTGCAACAGATTGGTGACCACGACGTGATATTTTCTCCTGGATACAAGAACACATAAAAGTATATAAACAAACTCATTCATCGTTTAGACACTTTTTTTCAAACTGAGAGTATGTGAAGAGAAAACTTCGACCACCTTCTACCTACGGTGGACACTAAAACTTAAAAAATAATAATAATAATTTACATTTACAAAATTTGCGATTAAGCCTAATGAAAAGAGGAAAAATTCAAATTTAAAATCTCTGAAACGTAAAACTATCTGGACAAGATGTTCTCCAAGTCAGCAAATAGATATGTTTTGCAACACGGGGGACAAAGAAATCCATAATCACCATTGTAATTACTACTACGATTGCACGGTCAACAGACTAACAAAACGCATCTTATTACTACTGCTTTTTGTTTGACCGTTTATTTCTCTTAGGCACCATTACTCTTGCGGCTTGACTTTACCTCAACCGACAGACATCACAAATTTTTTCCACCAAGACGAAAAATACGATTTTCATCTTACAAGTTTGGAGCAAACAAAACACGGCTCATTTTCTCCAAGAGTACTCGCGAAAATACGATCCAAACACCACAGAAGTTGTCGGAGTTAGCTCCTCCTCATCTCCTTAACTCTTCACCAGGGGTCTCTCTCCCCTGGCTATAAATACTGGCTGACCCTTCGCCTCGATCTCTCTTTCCTCAGGCTTTCGGCCTTATACCACCTCGCAGATGTAAGATCTCACAGATACAGCGTTTCCCAAATTCTGGGAACACGCTAAGAACAATACACGTACGTACGAACACTCACCACAACACACGTACACACATAATATTCACCACACGCACTCTGTCCATGTATTTATAACTTGTACTTGTTATTAATACATATATTTGTTTACATATATTTATCGGTCTTGTTTGTTTTCTTTGTTTTTCTTTGGACTTAATTAAAGTCCAACTTTTTCATGTAGTTGGACCGGCTAGCAGGAAAATCTTAACCCACGTGTACTCTTCTACATACTCATCACCGCCACGGTCCGCTACAAAGTCAACACCATTTTCAAATTTAAACAGCACTGTTTCTCCTAGGCTCATCAGATAAAGTGTGCAATAATCCCAAAGTGACTCACTGCCCTTCTTCACTCTTCAAAAATGTTAACATGAACAACTAAGAAATATGCAAGTACGATTTAATAATACATGGAAATAGCTGCATCTTCCGTTAAAAAAATCGACAATAATATCAGGTATCTTTAAATGTCCTCGCAAACATGTATTCGACACTCGATAGAAATTTCA